CCTGAAGCGCTTGCTGCCGAGGGTCAAGGACTGCATCCTTCAATATGGATTGAGGCTCAATGTCAAGAAGACAAAGATTCTCACCACTGGACCGACTGGCAGCATCAAGATGGATGGTGAAGAGATTGAGATTGTTCAAAGTTTTAGTTTGCTTGGCTCCACAGTCAACACTCTTGGCACCAGTAGCCAGGAAATTAAAAGGCGTATTGCTATTAGGGACCTCTCCAAAGTACTGAAGAACAATGGTGTCTCTCTGGAGACTAAGGTGCATCTGATACAGGTCATGGTCTTTGCTATCACTTGTTATGCATCAGAGAGTTGGACAATGAATAAGGAGGATAGAAGGAGAATTGATGCCTTTAAACTGTGATGCTGGAGAAGAGTATTGAGAGTACCATGGACTGCTAGGAAAAAAGATTCATCCTGGAAAGCGTTAAACTGGGTGGCTCCTTGGAGGCAAGGATTCTGAGGCTTCATCATACTTTGGACATGTTGTAAGGAGGGATTGGTCCTTGGAGAGGGACATCATACTTGGGAGGGTGGAGGGATGGTGCAGGAGGAGAAGACCCTCTACGAGGTGGATTGATCCACTGACTGGGGTAATCGGGATGGGAGTGTCAGAGACAGTGTGATTGGCACAGGACAGCGTAGAGTTTAGGGCTGTTGTACATAGGGTCGCTATGAGTCACAAGCAACTTGACGGCACATAACAACCACAACAAAGCATGAAAGTTTTAATTATGGCTACAGAATAGGATATATATGGCATGCCTCTTGATAATGTGAATATGTTAATAGATAAGAAAGTGCAGACAAAAATGGGGGAAATCTCATGAGGTGGAGGTAAGACAGAATAATTATTTGAAGTCATTAACTGTTCTTCTTACAGTAATAGAAAATCTGGCAATAGCCATGGTGGCGGCTGGTGACAAAATCACTGGTGTTAAAGACTATCTGTATCCAAAAGGTTGACTGGCAAATATTAAAAGACTTTCATAATAACTCAAAAATTAAAATGCAGTACCATAATATTAACTTCACATATAAAGCTTCACTGTTTAAACCCATCCATGGTTAGCTTCTATGGTGTTTTACTAAAATTTGGTACTAAATAAACAGAAATCAATTTTATGCATCAGTTACTGTCATTTAATGTTAAATTCATGTAGTTCACCTATTCGAAATGTGTTTTCCTCAACATTTTCATTGTTGTTGTTGTTATGTGCCCTCGAATTGCTTGTGACTCATAGCGACCCTATGTACAACAGCCCTAAACTCTGCTCTGTCCTGTGCCAATCACACTGTCTCTGATACACCCATCCCGATTATCCCAGTCACTGAATCAATCCACCTCATAGAGGGCCTTCCCCTCCTGCGCTATCCCTCCACCCTCCCAAGTATGATGTCCCTCTCCAAGGACCAATCCCTCCTTACAACATGTCCAAAGTATGTCAGACGAAGCCTCAGAATCCTTTCCTCCAAGGAGCAGCCCAGTTTAACCCTTTCCAGGATGAACCTGTTTGTTTTCCTAGCAGTCCATGGTACCCTCAATACTCTTCTCCAGCATCACAGTTCAAAGGTATCAATTCTCCTTCTATCCTCCTTAGTCATTGTCCAACTCTCTGGTGCATACATGATAGCCTGTATCAGATACACCTTAGTCTCCAGAGAGACACCATTGGTCTTCAGTACTTTGGAGAGGTCCCTAACAGCAGACTTTCCCATGGCAATACGTCTTCTAATTTCCTGGCTACTGGTGCCAAGAGTTAACTGACCCATTTTTTCCTTGTCGATACACAAACTTAGGGTGACGTCTCACAATCAATGCTATTTCATATTTGGTGAAAGATGATAGGTGCAGAGAATACGGTGGTAATTTTTCTCTGCTCCTTTAAAAAATCTTAAGCTAAAAAAATTTTAAAAAGATAAAAAAAATCTTAAGCTGTTGCTTCTTTCTCTAATATTTTACCTCTCCTTTACCAAGTCATTGACTGTGCACATGTTTAAGAACATGTAGTTATACATAATTCGGTTTGATCTGGTTTTGCCCTAGACATTTCAGAGTCTTTGGACGACCCTGTACCTTAAATAGCTAGCTCTTTCTTGCCATGCAGTCTTAGGCTAAATCTTTTTTGCAAAAACCTTTGACTACCTACTCTACATCATCCTGAAGCCCCAGAGACATTTCCTATCCTATTTGTACAGTTTTTAATCAAAGCACTTAAAATGCACTGACATATTCATTTGTTGCTTTCCTCGCTGAAGCTTTAAGTATGCCCTCTGACAGAGTTCAGCCCAGCTCCTAGAACTCAGCCTGGGAGCAAGCAAGCATGCAGGTATTTCCTGAAGGAATACTTTAGAAAAATACCACTAGGGTATAGAGAGATTTAATCAGCCAAGTAACTATGCTTCAAATTTATAAGCCACATTTCTTCGCTATTTCTCCACATAAAGAATTTTATATGTATAAATTATTTTGATAGGAAGATCCAGTTAAATACAAATTTTGTAACATCACCAAGAATAAATTTTTGTAGCACCAAACTAATCATCTTCCATTGATTTGATTTATGCTAATCTATCTACCAGAACTGACATTAAGCAACTATCAAACTAGGAAGAAAAAAACACCCCAAGCTTTTATCAGAAAATTTATATTTACCTGTATTTTTATGCTTAAGATAAAAAAAATCTCAATCACAATCTCTCCACCATCCATAATGATGCTGCTAATCAGCCCAGGGGTGAGAACCTTTTATTTTCTTGATACTGAGCTTCAGTCCATATTGAATGATACAGTCCTTGATCTTCTGCAGCAAATGCATCAGGTCCTCCTCAGTTTCAGCAAGCAGAGTTGTCATCTACATAATGCAGACTGTTGATGAGTCTTCCTCCAATCCTGATACCACATTTCTCCCAGCAGCCAAGAAATTAAAAGATGTTTTTTGTTGGAAAATCTGCTATTAGAGACTGCTCCAAATACTGAAGAGCAACAATGTCAGTCTGGAGACTAATGTGCACCTGATCCAGGTCATGGTCTTCACAATTACTTGCTATGCATCAGAGAGATGGACAATTACTAGGGATGATAGAAGGAGAACTGATGCCTTTGAGCTGTGGTGCTGGAGAAGAGTATTGAATATACATACCATGGACTGTAAGAAAACAAACTGGTTCGTCTTGGAGAGGATGAAACTTGGAGGCAAGGATTCTGAGGCTTCTCCTAACCTACTTTGGACATGTTGCAAGGAGTGACAAGTCCTTGGAGAGGGATGTCATTCTTGGGAGGGTGGAGGGACAGCACAGGAGAAGAAGACCCTCTATGAGATGGACTGATTCAGTGACTGGGGTAATGGAAGTAGGTGTGGTCAGAGACAATAAGACTGTCATAGTATAGAGCAGGGTTTAAGGCTGTTGTACATAGGGTCGCTATGAATCACAGGCAACTCGACGGCACATAACAACAACAAAAGAAAAAAAGCAGTCAGCTGTTCTAAAGGAAATACCAAGTTGAAATTACTGCTTATAATTTTCCCCCCACAATTCAGTGGAAAAGATTAACAGAAACATGCTTATCTATTACTGAACACACAATAAGAAAAATAATGGCATATTGTCAGTTCCTTTAATACTTAGATTTTGTGTGGAAGACAAAAGAATAAAATAAAAAGACAGAAAAAGTGTATTTGTCTACATTTTTTATTCAAAAGTCCATGATTCTTTGGGAGGTGATTGCTTACAGCCCGATCATGATTGCTATTGTCTCTGTAGTAACCAGATGCTCTCTTCACCTCAGTTCTCGCTTGACACCCACACGTGACATGTCATTTCTGAGAAAATGGGGAAAATATCCTGAGTGCTGGACTTTAATCACAGTCCTCCCTTATTGATGTCACCTTTCCTGACTGCTGAATTAGAATGCCAATACAAGAAAGATTAGCAATATCTCATCAATAAAAACATTTTTTCTAATTATATGGCTGTCTCAGAAGAAAATGATATTAAAAACAGCAGTCAATTTTCAGAGGTAAAGAAGCAATGGCCTGATTGATTCTCTCCATTTCTCCTTGCTTTACATTGGAATGACTAAGCAGTCCTGTGAGAGGTAGCACTATGTCTGGCATGTGCTCTTGTGTTACACTTTAGAGCAAAACCCTAAGTCATCACATTGTGCAGAAGACTGTATGTTACACTTAAGGAAACAGAAAAAGGACAGTGGCTTTCTGTGAGCAGAGTCGTCTCTCAGCAGGACAGGAAGCAATAACTCCAAGTAGAAAAGATGGGGTCTAACAGAATGTGGCTGGCAATTAGTGAAGGACGTAAAAAACAGGATTAGAAAGCCTGCCATTCCTAAAGTTTCCTACCCTTGAGTCTTTATTTAGTCTGCTAAAAAACAAGTTTCTACTCAAATCAGGATGCTCCTGGAGACAAATAGGCAGCATAGGCAACAGCTGGTCAAGCTTTATATATAAAGAAAATTAGTTTAAATTTTAATTTTTCATATTCTTTTTCATAAGAAGGATGTGCGAACCTAATATTGACCTATCTGGTACAATTCAAATTAACTTTTCAATATCACTAGAGATTAATGAGTTTTTCTGACTATTGCTACTAAACTGAGAAGGAAGGAGACATCCCACTCCTTTACCAATAGATTAAATAATAAGACAGATTTAAAAAAAAGAAGAAGAAGATAATGTTACAAAACCAGAAAACAATACAATGTTATGACAGTATTTTTCTTTTTATAAGACTGTAGCATTATAAACATGGTTGAACCTTGGAGTGGAAGGTAAAGCAGGACTGCTGATAAAGTGGTCACTGCACTGCAGGACCTGGGCTTACTTTGTCTGCTAGCCACTGACTGGGAAATTTTCCCCGTGTAGGAGGCGTGTGTGTGTATGGGGGTGGGGAGAGCAGGTGGAACAACCACAGAGGTCAGATACAGTCTTCTTACAAACGGAGCTCTGCATCTCAGTGGTCCTGACTTAGATAGGCATTCACAGTAAACAGCATCTTTCTTTAAAACTTTTCTTGTTCTTGCTGCTTTTCTTGCCATTTTTGTCTTTGTTTTCTGATACCTTCTTTGCTCTGATTTCTCTCATTAGGTCAAAGAAAACCTGAAAGTGGTTAGGAAGGGATAAAAATAAAGAAAAGGAGATTTAATGAAGCAATTCAACTGAATAGGAAATGTAATTACATATTAAAGCAACAAGGTAGATATTTTTTATAAACTATGTCATCAAAAGCAAAGGATAAAAGCAAAATAACTAGCCTTAAAAACAGATTCTAACTGAACAAAGTCAACATCACTGCTCAGATCAAGTTGGTCAAGTTAAGGAAGAAATCCTCATATTGCCTCTACTATCCAACAACTTATCTCAAATGAGGAAACATTTTCTTACGGTAAATCTAATGAAGGAATCCACAACAATGTGTGAGACTTACCAATATTGAGATTGAGAGTAGCAACCAGGTTTTCCAGTATTTCAAACCACTGGAGAAGGAAAGCCCATTACGAGCTGCTACTCTCTCTCCTGTCACTGCTCAGATGGAACTGACAGCTGAGCCTCCAGCAGGTGTTTGGAGCTGTGAATCACATGCCCATCTTTCTCCCAAGGATCAGCTGGTGGATTCGAATCACCCGAGAGGCAAAGTCTCTGAGTCAGCAGTGCAGCTCCCTGTGGACTAAGCCACCACCTGTGGGTTATGCCACCACCTGTGAGCTATGCTGCCACTTGCAGACTAAGCTGTCACCTGTGGGCTATGCCACCACCTGTGGGCTATGTCACCAGAGCTCCTTCACCTGCTCCTCAGAACTCAATAGACAGTTCCTTTTTATAATGATGCTATAAAGTAGCAAACAGTCTTAGGGTGACAGCTTTCCAGCATGACTCCAGAGGGCAGACCTAGACAGTGGGACTAACAACTCCAACATTAGGAAACTGGAAAGGGAGGAGGGGCGATCCAGACACATGGACCCCTCCCCTCATATACCCTTACTCTAATTTTACTTACTACGCTGGCAGAAATCTCAGCAAGCACAGACTTATTCTTTGAACACTAGTTTATTACTTAGATATGGATTATACTTTGTCACAGAAGTTTGAATTTTGCCCTTTGCTAACCCACCCCCTGGAGGGTCAGTTTTGGGTTGGCTCCAACTTGACAGTATTCAACAACAACAACTTAGCAATCATGCCAGAATAGTGATTATGCTCAAGGAGACAAAAGAGGCTTCCTTCCTATATGATGTTTAAAATTTCTTATAGGCAGTGATGGAGATGAAGTGAGGAACTGAGGGGGCATTTATCTTCAAACATTCACACCAAGCCATAAGCTCCTATCTCTTCTTTTCATAAACACATTTGTTGGTGAAAAGGAAAATGTTGTTCCCTGTTTCTAGGCTCAGGCTTTCTGTGTGTAGAGGACACACATGCACTGCTGACCAGCTGCTGGTGCTAAGAAGGAGCCCCTGGCCCGAGGCGGGGTTAGGTATCACTAAGAATGTACAGTGCACAGACCACAAATGTCTTCTTTCAGTTCTAACAGAACAAGGCAGGGCAGAGACAGGAAGGGAGTCCATTTTAAAATAATGACAATGTTTTTCAGTTGCTGATCATTTCAGAAACCTTCTTTGGTATAAACTGTTGGCAAGTGACCACAGCCGGTCAGAAGTTTCTTCTGGCTCCTATCCAGCAGGTCAGACTGATTCAATATAGAAGAGAGGACAAATGACAGTGCAGTTGGACCTGTTTCCATCTCATCTGATGCCCTCAAAAAAAGCACCCTACACCTACCTCTCCAGGCGGGGAAAGTCTTCGGGAGTAAGCTAACATGCCTAGATACCCTGGGTGGCTTTTAAAGCCAAAAAAGCATTTCCAAGAAAGGGTACAGGCCAGTCCCACACTCAACATAAGAGTTGAGCTAACAATATACAGTGAAAGAAGCTAACAGATGAACTTATCTTGTAAACAAGAACCACCAGGTGTGTGGGGCACAGGCTGCCCTGGTGGTGGAGTGAGCACTCCACACTGTGAACAAGAACCACCAGGCATGTGTGTGGCACAGGCTGACCAGGTGGTGCAGTCCATTACATGGTGGGATGGTAACTGAAAGTTCAGAGGCTCAAAACCACCAGCTTCTCTAAGGAGGAAAGATGGGCAGGACCTCCTACTGAAATTTTCCACTTCAGGAACCAGATAAAGAGTCACCATGAGTCAGAATCAAGTCAAGGTAGTGGGTTTGGGCTTGATTTTAGAAGACATCAAAAGTGCTGCTATAGTGACTCCTCCTCACTCCTTAGGAAACACCAACGCACACTCAGCATCTTTTCAAACAGGAGTAAAACATGGTTATAAAAATCCCCTCTGCAGGCAGAAAATGTAAGAGAATTACTTCTCCACAAAGGAGACAAACACAAGAGATTTCTAAGACACTGATGCCAAGGAAGACACCAGAGATACGGGCATGCCCACCTTGTCCACGTTGGCACGGGTTTTGGCTGATGTCTCCACATACTGCACACCCCACACTTCAGCTTTGCTCCTGGCCTCATCGATAGGCACTTGTCTTCGCTCTTCCAAGTCAGACTTGTTTCCCACCACGAGTAGAGGAATTTTATCTTCTTCAGCCTTAACACGTAGAATCTGCTCCCTAAGGTAGTACATCAAAAAGAGACTGTCATATAATGTTGGTGGGATTATAAAATAGTACAACCACTCCAGAAGACAGTTTGACATTTCCTCAAAAAGCTGAACATAGAAATTCCACATGACCCAGCTATTTCACTACTAAGAACATATCCCAAGGAAATCAGAACTGAGACACAAATGGAGATTTGCACACCAATGTTTACAGCAGTGTTATTCACCATTGCAAGAACATGGAAACAGCCCAAATGTCCAAACACAACTGAATGGGTTGAGAAATTGTAGTACATTCATACCATGGAATACCATGAAGCACTCAGAAGTAATGGTTTGGAAAAATACTGCATAACTTGGGAAAGAATAGAAAGCATTATGCTGAGTGAATTAACTCAGTCTCATAAGGACTAAAACTGCTTAAGACCATTATCTTAAAAATAGAAGGGTAACTAGTAAAACATGTATGGGATCTCAAGTAGGTAAGAGGTAGGAGCAGAGGGTACTGTCAACTCCCCTAAAATGAAAGAGCCCCCTAAGAAATGCCAACATGTAGAGCCGGTTCCAAGGACACATTTCCTAGCTGCAGTTATAAATCAGACCAATGCTTTCATGTTGCCTGCGTCAGAACTACTTAGGGTGCGGTAAGGAACGCAGAGAAGCAAGTGCCTGGATAGGGCTCAGGAATCAGCATGTCAAAGGATCTCCTCAATCTAAAAACATTTTTATAATAAAAAAACTTCAAACCTCTATAATAAATCTCCTATATCATTCCCAGTGAGTTAGAAGTGACTCACAGCTGATCTTACAGTGAGTTTCTAAGGCTAAAAATTGTATGGAAGGAGATTTCCAGCTCTCTCCCATGGAACACCTGGTGGATTCCAACCTCCAGAGATGAGTCCTTTGAGTCAGCGGAGTAGCTCCAATGGAGCAGGCCACAAAGCATTGCACTAAATGAAGGTTTTAGAAAAAGTATCTTCAGAATACTTTTAATGAGCTCTCCTGAAAGGAGTACGACTGTCTTCTGAGAGTAAAAGCTAAAAACCCTAGTGTTTTTGAGATGCCAGATGGCCAACTAGAATATCATGAAGTCAGCTGATGGTTTACAACCAGCAGAGTTTTCTGTCTTGTCTTCTTTTGTTTGAGAGAAATGGAATATTAGAGAATTAATAACTACAACTCAACTCCTTGCTGGTAAGCCGGAACTGACTCATAGCTGACCCACCAGTAGGTTTCCACAATCTAAGTAGGTCAGCACAACTCCTGATCCACAGGTCACCAGAGCTCCCTATTATAGAACAGAATAGCACAAAAAGAAACATGAGAGGGAAACTCAAGCAGGAAAGATAAATATGGTCCTGTAAATGTCCATTTTAATTCATTCTTTCTTTCTTTCTCTCTCTCTCTCTCTCTTTCTGTGAGTGTACACTGCCCCCTCCTTATTACATACAGCTTGCAAACTATACATGCAGCATAAAGCAAACAATTATGCTAGGTCATGATTCAATGCATTTTCCTTTTCTTCTACAAAGTAGAAAAAAAGATAAAATATTCTAAGCCCTATGGGAAAATACTTTAATAAATATACATATTTAATATCCTGCTTCTTATATTTTGCTCACTGAAGGCAGCTCTTTATCTACATTCAAATGTATTCCAAAAAGAGTTCCCTTCAAAAATATTATTCTGTGGAGATGTGCATTAACTTTTACATGATACAAGGTAGCCCATTAAACTATCAACTAAAATGTTAATTTTGTTTTTCATGTTGCTAATTTAAGTACCTGAAAGCAAATCTTTAAGATACGAAAAGGAAAAAAAAAAGGAGGGGGGAGCAAGGGCACAACTTCAATTCTGTCACTTCAATTGCTTTGTTAGTACCTACATCTCTGCAGGGGTGAAAGACTATTGTATTTCAAAAGCAGTGGTTGATATGTTCTGTGAAAACAAGTGATGGCCTCAAGCTCTTTAGTCGTACAGGTCTAGAAAATTACCTCATTCATTCACAGACATTTGAAAAGATGAGAGCTTGAGTCTTCGTGATAAGGCTACTTCTCCAGCTCACAGAGCACAGAGTACAACAGTATTTAATTTTATGTTGGATCCTTTAGAAGGTAAGTAAGGCAATGCTTTATAACTAACTGCTAATGGGCATAAAGTGACCGAGTGGAATTACAAAGGTGTGAGGGCCCCTAACCCTCTTCTAATATAAGAGCGTCATTTGCCTCTTCCTCTTTCTGTGCAGTTTTCATAGACACTCATCTGCTCTTTTTCTAAGGGTCTCTTGACTCTATGTCAGGGAGCTCTGAGGCCTAATCCATAGGGAGTTGTGTTGCTGACTCAGAGGTGACGCCCCCTCTAGTGGTTCTCATCCATCAGAAGCTCTAAGGGAGAAAGATGGACAAGTTCCTCCTTTGTGATTTGTGGCCTCCAAAAGCCCACTGGAAAGTCTGCTATGAGTCAGTTCTGCCTCAACAGCAATGAGTTTTGAGGTATTTTACCACATACAACACAAGACATAACCCCCCACCCCAAGAAACTGAGCTTCTGCCAGGACTATTAGTGTGTACAGTGTCTGCACATACTTGGTGATGCAAGAGAGGCCAGGGTAGCATCCTCTAACCTTTGGTGAAGCCAACACTTCTTTCTAAGTGTGTCACGCATGTGGGAAATAAAGTTAAGAACAGGGAATAAAATCCATTATGTTTTATCATCAGGGAGATATAAAAACCAAATAACTCAGTCCCACAAGGATAAATATTGTATAAAACCATTATTGTAAAATGAGTATAAGGATCCAAGAAGGGTGGGAGAGGTTGGAAGCAGAGGGATGAGAATGTGCAGGGGGCGGGGGGTATTTAATAATGGAGGGGGGTAAGGGAAATTCAAAGAATTTGTTCTTAAAAATTATGTATTTGAATTTTGTAAATAAACTAGTAGAAAATTTAAAACCAACAGTTAAAAAAGTAAAGATTTCATTCATAGATTAAAAAAGAAAAAACACCCAATTAAAAATCCATAGATTGAAGATGCAAGCGTAACTTGAGCATATAGAACATAAAAAAATGGGCTTCTAGGCATAACTCAAAGGTCTGAAGATGGGGCTTTTCATGATGAGTTCTAGTGTGTTAATGGATCACCTCAATGAACACATTCCAATTTCACACAACTGAATCATTCAACTCTTTAAGCTCTTGAAACCATGGGGCAGAACCGCTAAAACGCTACCTTGCACTCTCCCTGTTACATACATTCATCCCTTGAGGCCTCATTAGCTCAATGATGCTTCTTTCCAAATATCAGGAGGATGTTTAGCTTCCTCATTTTCACCATTGGTTAAGCACCTTACTCTGTGCCAAGAACTTGATAAGGCATGAAAATATTGACCTTTCCCCCCCCCTTACCCTTTATAGTTCATCTCTGGGCTCTAATTCCCACTCTACCTAGAAAACTGCACAAACACCCTCATAAGGAGGGTTGTTGTGTTGTTAAGTGCTGTCAAGTCATAGGCCACTCATAATGACCCTATGAATGAAAGACCTGAACACTTGTATAACTTGTGCAAGGAAAATGGGAGGGATATATGTAGGAAAAAGAAATACAGAAAATAGAAAGTATGCCACAAAAGGCTCACTATTGCTTACTGCACAATGAACTTGGGATCTTAAAGCACGACATTTTAGAAATAAGTCTTCTGCATACTATGTCCACACTGTGAGAGGGTCTGTGGGTACCAAAGGCCAAGGGCAGCCACCACTTCTGGCCAAGGGCAGCCACCACACAGTCAAGGTCAGCTACCACATGGCCAAGGACAGCCACCACACGGCCAAGGGCAGCTACCACTCTTGCCCCTGAGGAGTTCACAATCTAATGTACCCTTTCATTTTATCAGCAACTCAACCTTCAGACAAAGAGACTAGAAAATGGTGAACTATAACATGCCAACAATTGGAAAGCCCCAGGAAATGATTTAAGCAGAATTCTTCCCAAAATAAGTTCAGACCTCTATTATTTTTTTTTTTTCTTTTTTTTTCAGACCTCTATTATTAAACTCAATTGTGGTAAGCAAGTCCTTCTAAGTCTAAAATTGAGGAAAGAGAGCAAAAATGCCCCACTTTGGAGGCTACTTCCATCAAGCATACCTGAACTCGGCCGTTGCTGTAAAGGACTCATGTTCTGTGATTGAGAAGACCAAGAGAAAACCTTCTCCACTCCGAAAGTAGTTGTCTCGAATGGCTGCATAGTCCTCCTGCCCAGCAGTGTCCAGAATATCTATCTGAACTTCTTCACCATCGAGGACCACCTTCTTTCTATAGCTGTCAGCTTTGGTAGGTTCATAGTCTTCGACAAACTGAAAAAAATGAGAAAACAGTTATCAAGGATCAATAAAATTCAAAGGGGCTAAAATCTGCAAAACAGTAACATTAATATACAAGTCTTTTGCCTAAAATCATCTAAGTGTGTGTCTGTGTCTCCAACTACCACCCTAAGAAGAATTGATGGCCTATTATTCAAGGTGTTTTAACAAACAGAAGCAGGCCTGAACGTGCTCACTAGTTTATGGCAAGAAATTTAAAAGAGCTTCCTGGACGACTGACTGGAAGAGATCCATATTTGTTACTATTTTAAAAAATTTGATCCAACAGAATATGAAGTTATCAAATAATATCATTAATATCACATGCAAGTAAAATGTTGCTAAAGATTATTTAAAAATTGCTGGAACTGTACATCAACAGGAAACTATCAGAAATTCAAGAAGAAGCATGAAGCAAGGGATGTCAGACGAATCTTGGCTGAAAACAGAAGGATATGTATCTGTGTTTTACCAACTATGCAAAGGCATTTGACTGTGTGGATAACAAATAATGGGAATAAAGGGAAGCACAGAATATGCAAAACCTAGATCTAGACCAAGAAGCAGTTGTTCAAACAGAAAAATGGAACACAGGATGGCTCAAAATTAGGAAAGGTATGTGTCATGATTGTATCCTTTTTTCATATTTATATTTATTCAGTTTGTATGCTGAGCACACCATCCCAGAAATTGGAATATATGAAGAAGAATATAGCCTCAGGATTGGCAGAAGACTCACCAGTAGCCTGCACTATGCAAATGACACAACCTTGCTTGCAGAAACTCAAGCAGACTTCATTACTTACCGCAGAAGATGAAAAACGACAAGCTTCAAAATGAGTTACATCTCAACATCGAGAAAACAATCCTCACCAGGGACCCATAGGCAGCATTTATTCTCCATCAATAGGATAGAGAAAGAATGACGTTGTTACTTTAGTAAAAAATGTCATTTTACTTGGATCCATAATCAATAGGTATTGATTGTGCCACAGCCAAGATATCAAAAGATTGGGAAAATTTGGGGTCAAGGACCTCTCCAAAATATTAAAACAGCAGTGATAACAGTTTAAATACTAAGGTGCATCTCATTCAAACCACAGTATTTTCAGTTGTTTCCTATGCCTTTAAAAAGTTGGACAATGAATAAGGATAACAGAAGAATCAATGCCCTTGAGTTGTGGTGTTGCTGAAGTGTACTGAACAGAGTGCCAAAAGATAAAACAGATATGTCTTGGAGGAAGGATAGCCAGGGAGCTCCTTCAAAGCAAGGATGGTAAAAGGTAGGGTCATACACTTTGGGTATATTGTCAGGAGGGACCAGTCCTTGGAAAATTATTCCAGGCTGGGAAAGGTGGAGGGGTGGAGGGTCAGAGAAAAAGACCCTCAACAAGATAGAATGACAAGTATATCAGAGATACTGACAAGGGTGCAGGACCGGCAAGGCTCAGATCTGTCGTTCACGAGGTTACTATGAATTGTAGTCAACTCATTGCTCTAAAAACAATAAGTATACCAACAAAGAAGTTTATCTTTTGCTTTTCAAAGAGAGGAGTGAACTGGGGGGGAGGGGGTTAAAG